TAACTACATCCTTTTTTCACGATCTTCCCGCCTGTCACAACTGGTATTGCTTCTCCCTCTTACCGACTGGAGATAGCTGATGTCTAATATTAAGCCTCCGCATTTTATTTTTTTCCAGTGTAGTTTGGTTGTGAATTGTTCGAGCCACGGTATTGTGTGGGTTGTAAATTGTTCGAGTCACGATATCGTAACTTTTATTCTTCGACTGCTTAGTGCTGATTATCTTGCCACTGTTATGGGAAAGTTTAGATTGTGGTTTCTGAGAGGCTAGTTTACAGGGAAACCGCACATTTTCTGACTTTTTTTTTTTTTTTTTTTTTTTTTTTTTTTTTTTTTTTTTTTTAGGAAGATTAATTTAGTTACGTTATCTTGAGCTAAAATAACATGATTGAAGAGTATGCTGTTTGCACTTTGTAAAAGCGGACAGGTAAACATAAGTTTATGGGCGGCCACAACGTCAGAAGAATCAACGTTGCTTTCATTCTCAAGCGTTGCTCTTTGCATAGTTTAAAATAGCACATGTAACAGCCAAGATCCGAGGGTCTTCCACGCTAGTTGATACTGGGCCAGAGTTTGAGAGAACGCTGCTCTAAATGTATTAGAGCTGAGCCCAGAATGTGTGTGTGTGTGAGAGAGAGAGAGTGAGAGAGAATGAATGTTCAACCCAGAATGTGTGATTAAGCCCAGTGTGTGAATGTTGAATTACTAGTTGTCAGAGGGACTTGTTCGACATTTGGCCTCATTTTGTGTGTGTGTGTGTATGTGTGTGTGTGTGTGTGTGTGTGTGTGTGTGTGTGTGTGTGTGTGTGTGTGTGTGTGTGTGTGTGTGTGTGTTTTAACTGCCAGTTGTTAAAGGTAATTGTCGATAGACACTTGTTCCCCCTCCCCTCTCTCTCTCTCTCTCTCTCTCTCTCTCTCTCTCTCTCTCTCTCTCTCTCTCTCTCTCTCTCTCTCTCTCTCTCCCTCCCTCCCTCCCCCACTCTCCCCCCCTTTTTTGTGTGTGTGAGAATGCTGTGCCCAGTGTATGCGTGTGCATGGGAATGTTGAACTCAGACAGCGAACTTCTCAGTTGTGTTGACCTCCAGGCAAATATCTCTTTTTATCTTTTATACCTTTGCACTGCCTTTTAAAGATAAGCCAATAGGGCTGAGTTCACCGTGCATGCCCAGAAACATCTTCATAATTCTACAGACCATGAGCAATTCAAGACCCCCTGTAAAACTTGCAGTCACGCCGACACAGAGGAACACATTAAGTTTAAAAACTGGATTTTTGAAGGGCAATATTCACTGTAAACGGGTGATTATTCAAGACTTTTAAATCACACTCAGTTTCACGTGCTTGTTTCTCACGTTTGACCTCTCGTTTTTGGAGTTTCAGTAGGCATTCTTAACATTTATCTTGGGTTTGTTATAAAGTGGCATCAGGCTCATGCCAAATAAAAGTGGGAGAATGGATGGAGTTTACAGACAGCCAGACACCACTCCAGCAGGGCTCTGATGGTGATGTGGGACTGGGGTGGTGTGGGGATGCAGTGGTTACCTGGAGGTTACCTGGAGGTTATTCCGGGGATCAACGCCCCCGCGGCCCGGTCCATGACCAGGCCTCCCGATGGATCAGGGCCTGATCAACTAGGCTGTTACTGCTGGCCGCACGCAGTCCTGTGTTTGACTGTGGTAGTTTGGAACCATGATGGTATGGCGCTGTTGTTGTACTGGTGTTGTATTGGTGGTGTATTGTGGTGGAGTGGGACTGGTGGTGTGCCAGACTCGTTTCTTCCCTCCCACACACCCAGCACCTTAAATGTCATGTCAACACTGCCTGCAGGCATGGCAGTCCCCTCCTTCCCATGCACACGGTGGCACACAATGCACTTCCCAGGGTTGTTATGCTTTCCATCGTTCTTGTAGCTGACATTATTAGGGTAGCTGCAACTCCAATAGTGGTTGGAAGTTGCAACTACCATAATGCTGTCATCTATTAGGGTTCAAATTTAGAAAGATACAGAATACCAGTGGTATCAGTATATACACAAGAGTAATGAACTGACGGGTCGGGTAAACCAAATATTTTGGGTAGCTTTAAAAATTAGGTACAGAACTAAGAACGATTGGATGTGTATGGAATTAGTAGGCCTACTACGCAATGGGGACCACCCCATTGCGTAGTAGGCCTTGGATTCCCATAAACTGCACAATCCAGGGCAACATGGGTTCAGGGCAGGTCGCTCCTGCCTCTCACAACTACTGGATCACTATGATATAGTCTTGGATGCACTGGAAGAAAAACAGAATGCAGATGTAATATACACAGACTTTGCAAAAGCGTTTGACAAGTGCGATCATGGCGTAATAGCGCACAAAATACGTGCTAAAAGAATAACTGTCAAAGTAGGGAGATGGATCTTCAACATCCTAACCAATCGAACGCAAAGAGTAGTGGTCAACAGAGTTATATCGGAAGCTGCCATAGTGAAAAGCTCTGCTCCACAAGGCACAGTACTCACCCCCAGCCTGTTCCTCATCCTCATGTCGGACATAGATAGAGATGTAATCCACAGCACCGTGTCATCCTTTGCAGACGATACTAGGATCTGAACGAGACTGTCGTCTGTTGAGGACACGGTTAACCTCCAAGAAGATATAAACCAAGTTTTCCAATGGGCAACGGAAAATAATATGATGTTCAATGAAGGCAAATTCCAACTACTCCGTTATGGAAAACTGGAGGAGATAATAACTAGAATTGAGTATACTACAAACTCTGATAATACAGTAGAGCGGAAAAATAATGTGAGGGACCTGGGAGTGGTATGTCTGAGGATCTCAGTTTCAACGATCACAACAGTGCCACGATCACAACTGCAAAGAAAATGATAGGATGGATAATGAGAATATTCAAAACAAGAGTTGCCAAGATAATGATCTTTTTCAAATCACTTGTTCTCTCTTGGCTGGAATACTGCTTTACATTAACATCTCCTTTCCAAGCAGGTGAAACTGCAGATCTAGAGAGTGTACAGACATCCTTTACTGCACAGATAAGTTCTATCAAACTCCTCAACTACTGGGAACGCTTGGAAGCACTTGACTTGTACTCGTTGGAACGCAGGCGAGAGATATACCATAATCTACACTTGGAAAATCCTAGAAGGAATGGTCCCGAATCTGCACACAGAAATCACTCCCTACGAAAGTAAAAGACTGGGCAGGCGATGCAAAATATCCCCAATGAAGAGTAGGAGCGCCATTGGTACACTAAGAGGAAACACCATAGGTGTCCGGGGCTCAAGACTATTCAACAGCCTCCCACCATGCATAAGGAAAATTACCAATAGGCCAGACAGATACTTAAAGTCGGAGCCGGATCAGCCGGGCTGTGGTTCGTACGTTGGACTGCGTGCGGCCAGTAGTAACAGCCTCGTTGATCAGGCCCTGATCCACCGGGAGGCCTGGTCGTGGACCGAGCCGCGGGGGCGTTGATCCCCGGAATACCCTCCAGGTAACTTACCTGGAATCACTTCCGGAGGTCACCGCCCCATGGGCCGGTCAGGTCAGCCAGATTGGCCAGGCAGATGGTGCCCGCAGCCCAACGCGTGTATCACAGCCCGGCCGAACAGAAACTGATTTGAGGAACCTATCGAGTTTCCTCTTGAAGACAGAGAAAGTTCTTGTATTCCTGCCTGATCTATTATTATCAGCAGCGGGGACTTCCCTAGACACTCCCCTGATAACAATTAGCAGTCGAAAGTTAAGAGATGGAAATATAGTTACACACACACACACACACACAACACACACACACACACACACACACACACACACACACACACACACACACACACACACACACACACACACACACACGCGCGCGCGCGCGCGCGCCCTGCAACCACACGTAGGTACGTGCACACAAACGGGTGCGTACAAATATGCTTACACCGTCTTATTTACATAAATTTACTTGGATAAACAAGTTTTGGATGAAGAGTGACATGAGAGCGCGTGGGTTGTGTTAGGGAATACCTGGAGGGTCGAGCCTTCACAGAAACACTGTAGTGTTGCATCTTCTGAATGAGCTGGCACTCGCTGTGTATTTCCCAGCTTGTCTGCTGTTGTTGAAAACGTAGACAGCTTCAGCTGTAGTAGTCTCTGTTCTTCTCATTCTCTTCTTATCTTACTATTTCCCTCCTTCCGTTTCCTCTTCCTTTCTCTTCCTTCCCCTCCTCCTCCTCCTCTTTTCCCTTCCCCCTTCCTTTAAGCAGAATGCTTTGACACTTGGCTTTGTCATAATATGAACCATTTTTTCTTACTTTCCCGCCCTCCTCACCCCCTCATCGTCACTAATACCCTCCTTGTCACCCCTCCTCGCCCCTTTCCCCTCTGCCTAAGAACACTCCAGAAAGATGGGCAATACGCCACTGTAAGCAGTAACGTAAAACTCACCACCCACACAAGTACTCTAGAGCGGGGCGATGTCGGTGACAACACATTTCCTACATAGCGCCACGTGCTGCATGTATGATGTGCTGCAATGCTTAGCTGCTTACTAATTAGCTGGCTGTGACTGATAGATTGGTTGACTTACTGATTGTGTTGCTGATATAGACACAATAGTTAATTAGTGCACGGGCTCTCTTTAGTGTACTGGCTATCTTTCTGCCTGTCTTATTGACATACTGACTTGCTGTCTGAGGTAGTGGCTGTCTGGTTTATTGTTAGTCTTCTGTAAATGGCTTTCTACCTAGTTACGAGATTTTTTTTTCTTAAGATTTGACAGTGCAGAGCTCTGTCCTGGCAGTTTTGATAACACAATTTTGAAACGGAGGACCGATACACACATGAAGAGGGAAGTGTGACAAATCAGTACAAGGTGAAGTCATCCTTACGAGTATTAACCTAGTATTACCAAAGGAATCCAAATAGTGAGACTTATTTCCGTTGGAATCCTTGTCATACCACTAGGAATCTACTAACTCCTTATTTTCTGTTTACTTCTAGTTCAACTAGGGTAGCGGGAGAGGAGGCTCGCTCGATAATTGAATCAGGGTCCTTTTGGTTATGAGCTGAACCACTGAGCCAAGAGATGCCGTGAGAGTGGCACAGGAAGGGGGGAGAGTTTTGTGGCAACATTAGTCCACCACATTTCCTGTAGTTGGTGAAGTGGTGAGTGGGTGACCCTGGTAGTGCCAGAGCCTGGCTGGACGCCGTCTGGCACGGTCCTGCTGCCGCCGGTGTCCCGCACCCGGGGGGGGACACGTCTTCACTACTGTGCAGAAGACCATTTTAGTAACTGAGGAATTGTTTTGCAAGTGTCGAGGAAGTGGATCAAACTATGACGGGTGATGTCTGCGGGAGTCGGAGCGACCAAAGTTAAGGCGGCGCTGTATTTGGCACTAGTGTTGGTTTCCCATTGTTGCTGGGGCCCAGCAGGTGGCCGGGTACTGGGACAGTCATACAGTGATCCTCATCTATACAACATCACCATGACAGGTTAGTCCCATGTTAAAAAAATATAACTCCTTCTGCCACCTCTTGGCCCTACTGAAATATCACTTACTGTAGACTGACAGGTTTCGTTACCTTGTATATGAAATCCTGTGTAAGGAAGTATGACAGGGAAATAGCTTTTGTTCTCACCCTGTGACTCGTATAACAGGGTAGCCGTACACTGCGGGCGTTCCCATCTTGTAACTCATATCAGTATAATATGGTAACAGTGCAATACGGGTGTTCTTATATCTATCAACCATTTTATGAAGGCTATATGCATCATTTTGGCAGTTCTAATATTTGCACCATAATTAGGTCTCTATATCACCAGTACAGTTATCAACCATAGCTGCTAGCAGGCTAGACACATTGTGCATGTGCCAGTACAGCCAAGCTTTTCTCAGCAGTTCTCCTTGGGCTTACACGACAGACGTTATGGAGGCTCACCCAGATGTTTCACTGAATAACTACCATTGACATATTTGAATCTCTACTACTTTTCTACCATGACGAACAGCAACCCTTCTCTGAAAATTACACGTACTGGCAACACTACAGTGTTGGTTTATATTTTGTACAGCTGTGAGCATGCATGGGAGAGTCATACCTAGATAAGTTGCCCGTTATCATCTAACTGTATGTTGTTGTGGGTTCAGAGGTTTGTAAGGGCTCAGAGGCCAGGCTTGAGTACCTTTGTGTGTGTGTTAGTTACCATTTTGTCCTAGGCACATGTCGATTAGACACTAGGCCTGTTGTACGTGTGTATCTGTGTGTGTGTATAGTGAGAGTGGCATGTGTGTCTGTGTGTGTGTTTGTGTCTGCGTGTGTGTGTCTGCGTGTGTGTGTTGGTGTGTGTGTGTTGGTGTGTGTGTGTTGGTGTGTGTTGGTGTGTGTTGGTGTGTGTGTACTCACCTAGTTGTACTCACCTAGTTGAGGTTGTGAGGGTCGAGTCCGAGCTCCTGGCCCCGCCTCTTCACTGATCGCTACTAGGTCACTCTCCCTGAGCCGTGAGCTTTATCATACCTCTGCTTAAAGCTATGTATGGATCCTGCCTCCACTACATCGCTTCCCAAACTATCCCATTTACTGACTACTCTGTGGCTGAAGAAATACTTCCTAACATCCCTGTGATTCATCTGTGTCTTCAACTTCCAACTGTGTCCCCTTGTTACTGTGTCCAATCTCTGGAACATCCTGTCTTTGTCCACCTTGTCAATTCCTCTCAGTATTTTGTATG